GTTTAGTGTTGGAAGACAGGGCGTCATACATTTTTTCACCACAAAATGCTTTATTTTCTGAAGTGAACTTACCGTTGATTTGTTGGTTGTTGCTTTTTTCTCTTAAAACTGTAGCTGCCAAAGTTGTGTTGCAATGTATAAAGCATCTTTTTATTCTGTACCCATGCTATATTATTTATGAGAATAGATAATTATATATAAATATAGATTTATATATAATATACATTATGAGGGTTATGATTTTTTAAATTTCTGTAAAGTTCCCTACTTTCAAAGTTATAAAGTGTCTCTTACTGCTATATTTAAAGCCTGTATGGTTTATTTTGATAGCAATAGAATTTTGTCTTTATTTGTGAAAGATATTGGACTCTACGATCATGAAATTACTGGGTGAGGTAATTCCATGTAAATGTGTGTAGAGCCTCCATTTTATTATTTATTAGTACTCTTTGTACATTTTTTGTGTAGATGTTTTGTTTTTGAAGCATATCAAACAACGTTCACCTCATTTTAGAAATATCATACATTTCTATATCACGCTGATCTGAAAGGGGAAATTTATATTCCTGTAAATAGTTTTGGTTTTGATATTCATGTTGTTGTTATTATTATTTATATCTTTGCCTCACATGGATGGGGATAACTTGTGTAGTGATTTTTTTTCTCTCAAAGGTAAGGGTGTTGTGTTGTTTTGTTTGTTTTTTATCTCGAAGATCATTTGTTGCAGCGTGGTGGAATCAGGCGCTTGCCAATTTTTGTGCATATAGAGTTATTGGTATCATCTTGAAGCTGGTCCATTTGTCTCATTTTTTATTAAATAAGTACCAAATTATTTTGAACAGAATTTGAGATATTTGCATTTTAAGAGGGTAGGGGTCGCCTGGGGTCAGAGATAAAATTAGCAAGAAATTGGCTGCCAAAATTTGGTGACTTCCAAAGCTTGAGTGTCCATGGAAACTGAGAAATTACGTTTTTTGTGCGTATGATCCACGTTTTTTTGTCAAATCCACAAAGAAATTGTGTTTTAAAGGTTTGAGCCAAAAAAAAAAAAAGGTAAAAATTGCCCCTGTGCAAGAATTGCAGGTTTGTTCCATTTCGTTATTATAATAAGTGTCTGATGTCACCACAGTACGCCACACATATCATTATCATTTTTACGTTGTGCTTACATATATTTTTATGGCAATGACTGGTAATGACTCTCATATAACAGTTTTATGATATTCTTTACAAATTCCCTCTCATATTTATATCGTTCTTGCTGCGTTGTACTGAAAACTTTAACACGTCTCAACTGTAACTCTCTGCCAGCTGGTTAATCTTTACCCTCCGACACGGATTTGACCGCTACTGGTCTGTGGAAGAGATTTGTAACTGCTAAAGCCCAGACACAGATATTCCAGCATCTATACATTTCGTCATGTTTCCTTGGACTGTCAAGTCTTGGTCTAAACATTTCGTCATGTTTCCTTCGACTGGCAAGTCTCGATCTAAACATTTTGTCATGTTTCTTTGGACTGGCTCTTCTCGGTCTGTACATTTCATCTTGTTTCCTTTGGCACATCTCTGAGTCCATCTGCGTAGACAGCAGGCTCCATCAACTCCTAGGGAGAATTATTCCCCTCTGCTGCTCATGACCTCAGCAGTCACTCTGTTCTTTCTTATAGAAGCATATTTTTTTGTTTTCCTCAATTTTTTTTGTCGGTTCAAGAGAAAGGGTTAATACAATTTTTTAAATTATTTTTTTTAAACAGCAGAGACTTTATTACACTGAACAAGACTAGTTGGCTGATTACCCGGGTCTTTGGTGTTACTAATAGTTAGGCACTTCGCTGTTCCACACAAGAGACCTTTGTTCGATTCCCAAGTGGGGGTATTTTTACTGAGTATCTCTGTCTTTCTCCTGGAATGTTGTATCTCTTTTAGCCCAGGTTGGCTCTGATAGGCAGGGTCTGAAATCCGCCTCCTAAAAATGATTAAAATTGTGTAGATAGAGGCGTAAAAACACCTAGGTTAAATATACTGCTAAAATACGATTGTGTTTTACTCAAAACTAGATGTAACCACTAAATTGTGTTGGTGATGATGTTGCAGGAAATTTATAGTTTTGCTTTGCTGGACAAAGAATTCTATTGTATTTTCGATAGGTTGTGACTTTGTATTTCATGCAATTTTGTCTTTTACATGCTGATATTAATATTATTATTGCTTCCCATTTACACATGACATATTCAGATAGTTACATTGATATACGTACATTGTGTAAATGTACACATACAAGTGCTGTTCCAAATGTGCTGCGGGTGGTTGGAGGGCGCCACTCGTAGGTTGTACTTCTTTTTTCCCTCTGTTGTTTCTGTCTGTCTATCTTGCATTTTTCCTTGCACAAAATGATTGTTATTGTAAAGGTGGTTTTGATTCTCTTTACTAGAACTCTAAAACTTAATCCTGATTTGCCAAAAGGTACCGATTGTTTTCAGTCTGAGTAATGTATTTTCTCACTGCTCAGAATAAGACTTGTGTTTGTGGCTAAATTGTGTCAATGGGAATGTAAAACATTTGCAATCCTTTGTATCTCGTAGGGTACCACTACCGGTGTCTGTGGTAGCACTCTGCTGTGGCACGCACGAGACCAGAGTTAGATTCCCGTGTGGGGAGAAATTTTGATTGAGTATCTGAGTCTTTCTGCTGGGATGTTGTTTCCCTCTCAGTCCGGGTTGGCCCTGACAGGCAGGGTTAGAAGCCAATATCGTAAATTATCTAAATTGTGTTGACGAGGGCCTGTCCTGTTTACAGAAATGTTTTATGAAGGTCAAAGGTAGTCCAGCTACACTCCCTTGTGTCAAAAGAGAAAATCTGATACTTTTTACCCAGCCTTGCATTTTTGGAGGGCTTAATTTTTATATGTCATCATCACATACATTCATATGCCAAATAATACATTGCTTGGCTGAAAATCAAAAGCTGCATTCAAAGAAATTAAATCGTTTGTAACTTCCATAAAAGAATTTCAGTGTGAAGAGAATAAAACTTGTCATGTCAGATGCATATCTCAAAGCACATACAGGAATTCCGCACATATTTTTTTAAAGTCTTATAGATACATTGGTAGACCTATATGTATTAAGTGCGTAGATAGGAAATTAACAGCAGTACACATTAATGTTCATTTCAACATCAGCCTTATCGCATATGGTAGGATATTTCTTTTCTTTCTTTCTTTCTTTCTTTCTTTCTTTGTATGTACCATAAATATCTGTCGCTGCGTGATCTTAAATCTGTTTTTGAACACCCATGTGTCATACTCAGGTCCTGTGGGACACATTGGGCCCGGCCAAAAATTATATCTGGGCCAGGAGAGAAT